AGTTTCATAGAGCCTACTGAGTTTGTTTTATAACATTTTCATAGAGAATATAACATTCCTAGAATAGAAGAAAGGTATGTTCAAGGTTTTTGGGGGGAATCGAGGAGATTGGCTGGGGGAATAGCTCAGTCCACAGAGTGTTTGCTGCATAAGCAGGAAAACCCAACTCTGATCCCAGAAACCATGTGAAAAGCAAGTGTGGTGTCTCCAGGTTGTAATCCCAGCATGGGGTTGGGGGCAGGCAGAGACAGGAGGACCCTGGGGCTTGCTGGCCAACCAGTCTAACTGAATCAGTGAGCCTCAGACCATCTCTCAAACTACAAGGTCAAGGACTCCTGAAGTTGACCACCCACCTCCATGTACAAGCCCCCAAACACGTACACCCTCACACATATGTGTACCCCCCACACTCAGAATCAAGGTGATTACGTAGAGAGTAAATGACCTGGCATAATAAAGTATAACCACAAATAAAATTTTATGTCAAAAATCTCCCAAAAGAGTATTATTCTTCTGCTCAGAAATGTAATTCCTTATAAAATTTCAGGCTATTTAAACCATACTCCCAGGTATCCCTCTCCCTTTTACAAAGGGAGACTGGAGTATTTTTTCACTAGAAATTCAGCAGAAGAACCTGATTCGGCACTCAGTCGCTACAGTGGGTGTAAACCTTAAGGAGACACAGAACTGGGAGCTCCTACCATCCCTTGACGGAGTCACTGAATGAGCAGTTGTTCTGCTTATGTGCGTCATAGCTGACACTTTTCTTAGAGGACATTGCCTTTTATCCAATCATTTGAAAGCAATACACAGACAAGAAAGTGAACTACGTTCTTGCCTCCAATGTTTCCTGTAATAACACACACATAAAATTGTGGTCAGTTTGGAATGTTCCCTAAGAATCAACAAAGAAATTCAGGAATCTATTTCTGATTTGCTACAAAGTTATGTATTTGATTTTGACTTAAGTTGGGGGAGAAAAAATCTCAGATTTTCCCCTAAGTTTATAAATTAACCCATGGCCAGGATTATCAGACATAAAAGCCTTACAATTTTTTTTTCTGTGTAGGACTTTATAATCATCTTTTTTTGGAACTGACTCTACACCAGGAACCCAAAATATGTTGCCAAAACATGTAGACTTCACAAATGTATTCTCATCCTAAGTATTAGTAGCTGCAGTGAAAACAGACTATATCTTGGAGACAAGGGGCTCACTTCACACTTGCAGCTCTCCAATGTGGACTGTCCAGAACTCTACGTCACGTTCTACTGGAACAAATGGCTTTTGTTCTAAGTATTGGGTAAGGGGAATTATAGAAAGGAGGTGCTCCGCAGCCACAATTAAAAAGCCAGTGGGACCATGTCCATGGTTCAAAGCCTTTTACAATTCTGACTATACTCCTCATCTATTTCAATCTATTCATTAATAATTCTCTTGTTCATGATTTCCTTTAACTTTCATGTAGAAAACAGAGGCAATGAAAGGGATAAGAAGACAACTAATTAACTGAGCACTAACTATAAATGATCACTTTAAGTGAACAAACGTAGCCTTGCCACACTAAAGGGAAAACCCCCGCAGAACGAAAATTAAGACTATTTTGAGATTTCATCTTCCATCAGTCAGAATGATTCAAATTAACAAAGCAGAAGACAGCAAATACTCATGAAGATGTGGGGGACGGGGAAACCCCCCAAGGTGTTGGTAGAGTGCAAAGTTTGGTTGAGCCACTGTAGAAATCAGTGTGATGGCTGATCTGTTTCTTGTGACAAGACAAGAAATAGAGCCACCATAGAACCCAGCTGTCCCGCTCGGGGTATATACCCAAAGGACTCCATTTCCTTCTACAGAGACACAGGGCCATTCATGCTCTGAGCTGCTCAGTAGCTAGGACATGCAAAGAGCCTACATGGCCATCAGCTGTGGATGGACAATGAAAATGTATCTTTACACAATGGAGTTTTATTCAACTGCACAGAAAAATGAATTTATGAAATTTTCATGTAAATGGATGAAACTGGAACACATACGGAGATAACCCAGACCCAGAAACACAAATGCCATAGGTCCTCACTCATATGTGGATGTTAGTATCACATCTTTCGATTTCTATGTTTAACTTGGAGTGCCTGTAGAATTCAGGAAACTAGAATGGGACCATTGGTGGGGAGGTGGAAAATATCTTAAGGGATGGGAGTATTAGCACAGAGCTGATTTACATTAGAAATGGGGAATAACAGGAAGGGCGAGGGTTAGGAAAGGAGGGGGGTGTAGGACAGGTGGGAGTGGATCTGGGGGGAGTTAGAGGGAAGGGGTGGGGGAAGAATATGATCAAATTTCATTGTATGAAATTCTCAAGGAATTAGTAAAAATGTCAAAAATACAACCTCCTATAGAAGGCATGAAATCGTCTCTATGTATTATCCTGGTGGCTTTGGTGTGGGCGTTGGGGATGGGATTTGCTTTTCTCCATCACGGGCTGTTCTGAAGTTATCCTCGTTTTACTGAAAGTTGTTGTTTCACTACCTGCATTAATTCACCACCATTTACTTGAGGCTAGGCTGGACACTGGGATTGCAAAGATAGTAACTTCGTTCCTTGTCTTAAATAGCTTAGTCATGACCAAGGTTTTTTTTTTTTTTTTTTTTTTCTTCATTTTAAGTATGAATTTAAAGGAAACAAGTTTCTTTATTTTTCTCTTGCTGGTTAATATTTTTCTGATTTATCTTGTACTCATGCTGTCTTGGGAAGTGAGGGAAGGATGTGTTTTAAGATCAGAATTGAGATTCTTCCATGTCTGATAGCCTTCTTAATTGGTTAGCGTTCTCTTTACAATATAGGCACAATGGTCAGGTTGTTTTCAAGTTTTCTTCCTCTCCAGGATGACAGCTGAGCACATGGAGGTTTCAGTGACCTGTGGTTCATGGATGCAGTGGCGTCTTCTTGCCCAACACAGGGCTTGGGTAGAGGCCGGCTAGTCATTGAAGTGGGTCTCGTTCCCACCTGTAAGGCTGTGTCTGTGGACACCTAGTCTACTGTGAGTGTGGGGCCTTTTCCCTCAGCCTCCTCACAGGCCAAGAGAGAAGGGGAAGTGGCTGGAGCATCTGCCCTCCTGATACTGTTTCCTGCATTCTCCAAGCCCACAGAAGAGGACGAGTGACTGTTCTCTTTCCGTCCCCTTTGCTTTTAATATTCTTTTGGATCATAGTCTCCAGATTTTCTGAGTGGCATTTTACTTTTCCCTTGCCTATGTTGGCAGGTGCAAGGCAGGAGAAATGGTAGCCATAATATGGAATAGATTTCCAAGTGACTAGACTGGTCACACAGACACACGGTAGTCGCTCTTCACTGCTCACAGATTTAATTTTTAAGCTCAGTGGTTATTTATCTCTCTTATACTGTTGATTTATTGTTTAATAGTCGAAGAGGAGGACTATAATTCAGATTTCGCATGTAGGGGAGAAGTTCTTGCAACTCAAAGTAAGGTCCATGATCAAAAGCATTGCCAACAGTTGTTAGAAATGCAAAACCACATCCTCTTCCTCAAGTACTGAGTCAGTACCTCCATTTCACTAAGCTCCTCAATGGTGCTTATAACCCTATTTGAGTTTGAAAAGGACTGTTCTAGGTCACCATAGCTCTACTGCACTTTATGACTGCATCAACTATGTATCACTGGCATTTACTGAACACTTACTAATTCCACATGTTAGCTGGTGATGGTCCTTGCCCTCCAGCACTTATGTTCCTAAGCAAGATGCTTCATTGTTATGCAAAAATAATTAAAGTAGAACAGACAGCTCCAGATCTAGTTCCCTCCCACCAGGTGCCCCTTAAATTTTTGGACACATCTATGAAGATTGAATTATACCTTATTAAAAGTGGATATTCAATTTTTGGAAAGCAGTCTAGTGTAGAGAGACAGGAACAAAATAGTAATAAAACATCCAGTTGATAAATCCAGACTCGTCCCTGAGGCACTAACCGGGTTTTACACCGTTGAGTTTGACAAGAGTGTGGCATTTCTCTGAGGGGGTGACATAGAGGTGGGGTGGGTAGGAGTCATGCTTTTTCATCCTGCACTTTTGTTTTCTGATCACAGTGTTTTAGAAGAATCTGGGCTTTACTTGCTCACCACGCTTTCGCTAGAGAATCACATTAATCCTTTTAAGCTCCTTATTCTAATGATTTATTTTGTTGAAAACCATAGTGATCCTCCTTTGAATTTTAATGATTGCTGCTATTCAAAGATTCATTGTTTTGACTTCCTGTCTTTACCTTTGTTTCCTATTTCCTACGTGTCTGTGGGGGAACACCTGTCTAACACTGGATCTGCCACTGGTTCTCACTGGCTTACCAGAGTCACTCAGGCCTATCTGAGTGTTAAGCTGAAACGTGAGCTACTCATCCATGACAATAAATGTAGAAGACATGTTTGTGGAGACAGACAGGTAGACCGCAGAAGGGCAGAAAAACGATTGAGTCATTGTCCACTGAAAATGATATTTTGGATTTGTGACGATATTGTTATCATTGTTGGAAAGCTGGTTGATATTTTTAAATAGGTCCACTGGGCTGTGTTATTTAGGAAAATTTAGATGAGAAGGCAGGTTGGATTTTGAAAGTGCTGTTCTTGCCCCAAATCTGGGACCATGAAGACGCCAGCAGGTTTCTGGATATGTTAAAAGGCAATGCTTTTCCAAGGGCACAGTCATGGTCCCTTTGTTTAGAAAGGGTCAGAAAATGGCAATAGTCATGATGTGACTCAGGGATGAGCACTGGGCTCACACATTGTACTTTCAAATCTAGGAAGTGGCTGTGTCATAGCCCCAAGTTCCTATTTCGCACGCTGCATCACCACAGAGAATTTTCCCTTCTCTTTTCACGGGTATTCATGTAGGAACACCACGGGTTTTCAAGAATATATTATTCTAATGTGAGATTTTAACAACTACACTGTATTTATGCATAATACATTTTTGTGCCTTATCTTCAGGCTTCTGGACTTTGATTCAGAATATCAGGAGCTCTGGGATTGGCTGATTGACATGGAATCCCTCGTGATGGACAGCCACGACCTGATGATGTCAGAGGAGCAGCAGAAGCATCTTTACAAGGTTAGAGCTACCCTGCCTACTTTTACCTCGCTGCGGAAGCTCTGATTATCCTGACAAGTCTCTCTCTCAGGATGTCTGCGTGTTCACTGTATGTACCACGGTGTCTATTAGAATTCCCTTCCCTGTCCCCAAACTCATTTCCATCTCTTGTGTGCCGATAGGCCGCACTGACATCATAATTGCAAGAGAGTTCCCTTTATCACATTCTATTTGGTGTAATTCTAAGGAAGGACAAAGATTTATATTCGAGATGAATAGCAATAAATGGAACTGCATTGGTAAATAGACTAAAACAAAACGAAGGATAAAGGACTGGCAACATTTAACAGAATGCATTTTGATTGGAACACTCAGGTGGAGTCTATCCACTCCTCAGATCTTCCCAGAGAAGGAAGAAATTTGGTTCATTTTGACTCGTTGTGACTAGAGTACAGGGCTCATGAAATTTAAGGTATATTAGTGATACACCGAGCAGACATCATTAAATCAGTGCATTTTCATGCGCTTTAAGAATCCTCACTTGGAACTCATATTGATTTCAGACAATCTGATAACTATCTATATTATTTCCAGGTCTGCTAGTTTACCCTTAACCTATTATGTTTTGCCAATTCTATTTAAATAGTCTTAGAAGTTCTTACAAAACAACCATGTGAATTTTGACTGAAAAAAAAAATGACTGTAAGATTCATAGTCCCTGAGAGGGGAGGGACAGGAACTTTCCACTGAAATATCAGGCTGCAGTAAATCTTCCTCATTTAGGCAATTTTTATTGGAGTAATTCTGACAGTTGTCATCCTTGAATTGCTTTGAGCATATGGCATATTTCAAAGAGCAGATTGTGAATCATAAAAAATAAAATTAATAACTAACCACAGAATCAGCAACAGTATAATGACAAGAAACAACCACCCTCTAGCTTTTCATTTTTTCCCAGAGAATAGAAAGTATGTTCAAGGTCAAACGAAAGTTATCTTCTTCAGTTTTACCATTTTAAGTAACCTTTCTTTAATAATTTTTTTTTTTACTTTTGCCTTCCCTAAGGAGAAAGACTTACACATTTCAAGAGTCTGATTGACTTTAATTAGCGTCCCTTGGGATTCATCTCCGTTAAGAAAAGATCTAACTTCCCCAGGGACTCAGCAAATAGGGACATTTTACTCTCTGAAGAATTCTGCCCAACATTGATCTCATTTGTTGACTTTGCTGTTTCCTATATGGATAGCTGTCTGCATTAACAACAAAGCTATCCAACATATTTTGTGGCAGAGCACTGTTAAGAGTAACGGTCTCAAACTCACGTAACTACAGTTAGGTTATTTCATATCTTACATCAGGATCAGGAGTTATATATGAAAAACACAAATTTATACTAATTCAGTGATAGAAAAATATTTATTCCTAAACCATCATCTCAGAACGTCATGTAGTCAGGGTGCCAGATAACGTTTCTCCTTGACACATTTTGTATTTTGTTTTCCGGAAACTGTGCTATTCTTTGTCAAAATCACATCCGTATCATTTACATCACAATTAATAGGAAATCACTGAACAGAAATCTTTTTCCCGGGGTTTCCTGTAAGTGCTTTGCCTGAGGATCCCCGACCTGGAGCTCTGAGACTGTTATTCACCCACTCAGTACCTCTGGGTTGTTCCGCTTCCCCAAGCGTCTTCCACACGGCGTCGCCTTCACTGGTGACTCTTGTCCTGTCATCTTCCGCTTTTAGGTGTTCGGCGTAGATCAACGTTCTCTTTGTATCTGGTGTACAAGGAAAATAATACTACACTGCAAACCGAGGGCAAATATTACAGGTCTCTACCGGCCTTGATGTAAGCCCCAGATCGTTCCAGAGGTTTGGAGCCTTCAAAGCAATCTTGAGGATATTGAGTAAGGAATTGTGTAGAAGACGCTGTGGCTCCTGGATTAGAAAAAGTGACTGAGAAGAATTAGTTTCAGGTCGTCCCGGGGATTCGCTAGGGATTCCAGGGTTAGGGCAACATCTTCAGTATCCTATTCCTCTGTTATAATCTGCTGTTTCAAGAATTCACTAAATTGATGACTGAGGGGAGCTTGTAGCCTATTGATCAAAAACCTTCCTGAAGGGACAGAGCTCTTTAATTTGTCCCCAGCCCACCTTAGGCTTTAAATTCCATTTGAGACTACCTTAATCATCTTTAACTTTTTATTGGTTGAACCTCCCCCCAAATAGCAAAGCTTTTTCAATATTTATTATTAAAAGTTCCATTGATGCTTGGGGTAAACATCTTTTTGAGTTTGTGGGATTGTCCCTTGTGAACATTTACTATTAATTTTCCTGAATCACTGTGACAAAGCAACAGGATCTTAATCCACTTTAGAGCATTTTCAGTCTATCATTTCTTTTTTACATTTTTAAACATTTAGTGTGTGTGTGTGTGTGTGTGTGTGCGTGTGTGTGTGTACGCGCGCGTGTGCCATGGTGGACATGTGGGGGTCAGAGGATGATTTGCGGGGCTCAGTTCTCAGCCTCCACTATGTGGGATCCCAAGATACAACTCAGGACTTTATCCTCTCACCACATATCTCTGCCTGCTGAACCATCTTGCTGGCCTTCTTCATTTCTGAAACGACTGTTAACATTAAGAGGAATGCCTTGCATTCCTGTCTATACATATCGGTTCAAGCCAGGCATGGTAGTGCGTGTCTACAATCCCACACTTGAGAGATGGAGGTATGAACATAAGGAATGGGAGACGGGCCTCAGCTTTACAGAGAATTTGAGGCCAGCCTAGGTTAAAAAACAACCTATCTCGTAAAACAAAGCACAAAAATATACGTATTAGACGCTTAGTTGATACTGAACTAATAGTTGAGTTAAAAAAATTAAGGGCCCGGAGATATAGCTTAATGGTAGAGTGCTAGCTTGGCCTATGTGAGGCCCTGGATCCAACTCCCAAACAACAATGACAACAGCAATTAAAAATTGGAAAGGAAACTCCTGAGATGTGGTAGCTGCAGAGCATGGTGGTGAACTTCGAAGGAGCTCTTCAGCTGAGTGGTGGTAAGCTCCAAGGCGGCTCAGGCTAAGGCCAGCCGTTGTTCGGCTGTGGTTGCATCTGAAACCTTCGTTCTGTCGCCGAGTGGCCCTGTAATTCATTATCCAACTCCTTGCCCGGTATAGATGTTTATGTCTAGATCTGGATTTATGCTTTTGTGCAGTCCTAAGTTGATTCCCAAGGTGTGCACTTGGCAAGTTAGAGAAACCTAGAAGATTTTCCAGTAGAAGAAAGTGAAATCCACATAGCGGTTTCCACGTTATGTGCTGCTTTCCTGGTTCTTCTTGTCTCATTTTATAGTTTGGTCTCTGCTAGAAAGTCACTTCCCATTAATGCCCCAATGTGGAACTGCAGACAAGTCCCTGGACTCACAGCCTCCTGAGTGGAACACTGCTTGTGATACCTTGTTTATCCAAAGCCACCAAAACACACAAGGAGCATAGAAAAGAATGTGATTCAATGGGCAGTGACTGCAATGATGCACCCTGACAGAATTCAGGAGCCTCAATAGCAATTAAGTATAAGTACATTTTCTGTTTAAACCAATTCTTGTTTTTGGATTGTTAGAAATTTAAGATCTCTTTATTCTAATTAATTTTAAACTACGTGGTTTTGAGAACAATTCAATTCTTACTAAAAATTAACCATTCTCTCAACTCCATTTTCTTCTGAGTTTTGAGTCACTGAGCTGGACTGGCAGTGTTTTCCCGCCCCCCCTTCTTGTGCGCGTCTCTGAGCAGGGACCTTCTAATAAGCACTGGCAGTGTCTTCAGCCTAGAGAATCCGAACATCATCCTTTCCTGTTTTTTTCTTCCATGATCTGAGAATTGTCTCCAAGAAGAATTTGCTTGCCGTTCCTTTCCTTCCTCTTCATCCCTTCTCCCTTCCAAAGCAGGACAATTTAATTTGTCAGAAGTAACCACCGTGATTTTGAAAGTTCAGCTCCTATTTAGACTGGAGTCACGAAGCCAGAATTCATAATCACAGGGAGCTGTCACTCTGCTGGTCTGAATGTGCGTTAACTATTAATGGAGAAATATTTAAAACTCACTTGCAAAGGAAAAGCTCCATTTTTTCATTCCTGCAGATCAAAGGTGGCATTATTCTTGGGCGCAGGGACCTCCTCCCCAATCCCATAAATTTTATTGTCTGAGTGACCTGGAAATATTTCAGCTATGGGAGAGTTGAGGCTTGGGCTGCCCCTGTCACTGCTGTAGTTTTCCGAGCAGGCACAGCTGACTTTGTAGAGCTTTAGGGAGTACCCTCTCTGGACCACCTGACCTGGAGCAGGGCTACCTATAGAGCACAGACTGCTAAGCTATTGGTGATCCTGCTGATGCATGATTCCAGAGTCAAGGTTAATTTCAACAGCCACATTCAGAAGTTGTAACCTATTGTTAATCGAAGGAGAGTAGTTTTCAGACAGCATGAATTCACTGAAATAGCAGGTTGGGAGATCTCTCCCTTTAGCTGCTCTGCAACAATATTAGATCATGTGATTTCTAAGGGGTTAAGAATAACTCTTCCAGCTTAAAAACAATTTGAAATAAACACCCACTCCACTAAGGCTTTACTTCCAGGGAACTTACATTGAAATTTTTTATATTTACTTTTTCTTTCTTTCTTTTTTTTCTTTGAGACAGGGTCTCACAATCTTGCTCTGGCTGGCCTGGAACTTACTTTGTAGACCAGGCTGGATTTGAACTCAGAGATCTGCCTACCTCTACCTCCTGAGTGCTGTGATTAAAGATGTAACCCACCATGCCCCGCTTTTTATATTTAATTATACTATTTTTGTTACTCATATGGGTCTGCATTTTATAGAAACAATGCAAGTTTGTATCTTTCTTAATCAGTATATTGTCCAAATGTCCTATTTGTAAAGGGAAAGGTTAATTCAATAGAGTAAGTAGTTAGTGAATGTATTGATTAAATTTTTCTATGAATTTGAGATTCTATGTAAT